TAGTGACCCGCAGTTTGGCCCTCGGCGCAGGCGCGCCTCGCACCACGTCACGTGCTCAGTTCTGGATCCGCCTCAAACCTGCCCGTCACTCCACAGACCAGGGCTTCTGGGCCTGGATTGGTGAGGCCAAAGGCTACCCCAGAATCGCTACTTTAAATGCGTGAAATAAACTACATAGGATTACAAAGGAAACCAGTTTTATTGAACGTTATCAACATATTTTCCACACGCTCCCAGACGCCGGCCGAGAATTCCTGCGGTGGAGAAAGAACGTTTCAGCCAAGGGCCTTGAGGCCCCAGCTCCCCGCTTCCCTCTGGGCGGCCCCCGAGGAGCCGGAGCCAGAGGCTGGCGAGGCCAAAACCAGGCGTCCTGGGCCTCGGCCACGGGGTCCCTGCCCTGGCCCAGTCTCCACACAAAAGGGGGTTTCCCAGCTTCGGCCGCTACTACCGAGATCGTAGTCGTTTGAGGAAACTGCACCCCTGGGCCTTCGATCCCAGTGGTCGGGCGAGAGGGAGGGCGGGGCCTGCGCGTTCGAGGAGGCGGGAAAGGCGGAGCCTTTGGGCGCGAGGCTGGGGGAGGGCGGGGCCGATCGTGCGTGCGCGCGTGCGCCGGAGAAGTTGTCGGGGGTCTCCACAATTTCACTACTATTCAGCTACCCCGACTGGAGCGCAGGCTGTATTGAGGGGAAGACGCCGGAAGTAACAGGTGAGTCATTACCGGAAAATGATTTTCAAAATTCCGGATACTGTCTAATCCACTTCAATATTCCTCTGCCCCCCAGCACCTCGCGCGGGCCGCTGGTACGGGGCGATCCCGGCCCGGCCACTTCCCCGGGACCTTTCGGGAGCGGTGCGGGGAGGGACAGGTTCTCTTGGGATCCGGACCCGAAATGCACTGGAGGCAAACATGGGGTTGAATGTCGGAATAATTGGCAGTAGTGCAGAGAACAGAAGCCCTTCCAGTGAAAGGATCTCTCACTCCCTGCTCTAGTATCCCCAGTGCCCAATGACCGGCATAGTTCAGTTGTTTGATTGATTGGCGGGGCGGGGACGGAGCCTGAGGTCCATTCCCTCCGCCCCCTTCCCCCCCCCCACGAGGGGGACCACGTGGGCTGCAGTGAGTGAAAGTGTAAGGAAAAGTTCCTAACATTTCCTAATCACCTTTAAAATTGACAGTAATAGCCAATCACCAATTACAGGAGCGAGACTAGTGACCTGGCTGTCATCAGTCATTGAATTATTGGAATATCAATTCCTGAGACTCAAAAGAGGTTGTGATTTGATTATAGCCATACAATTTTTTAAGCACAATGCTTTGAGCCCCATCTTTTTACCACACAAATTAATATGCTGGAATTTTTTTTTATTAATTTATTTTGATTTATCAACAACTACTTCCATATGCTTTTGAGTTTAAAATTTTTCTCCCCACCACCCTCCCCAAGATGGCGCACAATCTAATATAGGCTATACATATACATTTCTATTAAATATATTTTCACATTAGTGATGTTGTAAGTAAGAATTAGAACCAATAGGAGGAACCACCAGAAAGAGGAAACAAAACTCAACAGAAGGGGAAAAAAAATAGCAAATAGTATGCTTTCATCTGCATTCAAACTCCATAGTTCTTTCTTTGGATGTGGATAGCATTTTCCATCACCAGGCCTTTGGAGATGTCTGAGATCCTTGTATTGCCAGGAAGGGTTAAGTTTAGCAATATTAGTCATCACACAACGTGGCTGTTACTGTGTACAGTGTTCTCTTGGTTTTGCTCACTTCACTCAGCATCAGACTATACAAGCCTTTCCAGGTTTTTCTGAAGTCAGCCTGTTCATCATTTCTTATAGCACAATAGCATTCCATTACATTCATATACCACAATTTGTTCAGTCATTCCCCAATTGATGGACATCCCATCAATTTCCAAGTCTTTCTCACCACAAAAAAGAGCTGCTATAAATATTTTTGTACTTGTGGGTCCTTTTCCCCTTTGTATGATCTCTTTGGGATATAGCCCTAGAGGTGCTATTGCTGGGTCAAAGGGTATGCATATTTTTATAGCCCTTTGGGTATAGTTTGGGTATAGTTCCAATTTGCTCTCCAAAGTGGTTGGATCATTTCACAACTCCACCAGCAATGCATTAGTGTTCCAATTTTCCCACGTGTTCTCCAACATTTATCATTTTCTTCATTTGTCATCTTGACCAATCTGATAGGTGTGATGTGGTACCTCAGAGTTGTTTTGATTTGCATTTCTCTAATCAATGGTGATTTAGAGCATTTTTTCATATGACTATAGATGGCTTTAATTTCTTCATCTGAGAACTGCCTGTTCATATCCTTTGACCATTTATCAATTGGGGAATGACTTGTATTCTTATAAATTTGACTTAATTCTCTATATATTTTAGAAATGAGGCCCTTATCAGAGAGACTGGTTGTAAAAATTCTTTCCCAATTTTCTACCTTCCTTCTAATCTTAGTTGCATTGACTTTGTGCAAAAACTTTTAAATTTAATGTAATCAGAGTTATCCATTTTGCTTTTTGTAATGTTCTCTATCTCCTGGAATTTTTCTATTTTTCAATTTTTACTAAGGTGAAAATATTTGAAGTTGCATTACCAGGAGGAAAGTAAGACGATTTAATACAAGTGTCTAGTGTGTACATGCTACACAAAAAGCCTCTCTATGTTTTTTAGTTATGTATTAGTTTGGAGGATAGAATGACTCATTTAAAATTGTTGTTCAAATTATTCATCACAACCAATAGTGTCAACATCTTGCCACCCAACCATTCATCAGCACTATTAACAAGTGCAATGTATAAAGTCAAAAGAAAATTTCATCCCTGTACTACCATGTCATTTAGCACAGTTCTTCATATTTTTATCTTTACTGTGGTCCACAGGGAAATGCAGATTAATTTTATTATAGAGAAAAATATAGTTATTAAAAATCTACTGCCAAGAAATCATGTACATCCCAAATTAAAATATAAATTATTTTCAAAATTACCTGGTTTACTTCATTAGTATGAATAATCAATAGCTCACTGCAGTTGGGTTTAATTTCCTTTTCTTTGCTCTATTACTTGTGACTGATGATAAAGATTAAAATCAGACAAGAGAAGCAAGTGTCTGGGATATTCAATAATCTAGATAAATAGTTCTTGCATAACCAAAAATTGATCATAGATTAGTTAACTTTTTCCTTTCCTTACAATTTCTTTAAAAAAAAAAACAACCTAAATTTTTTTTATTGTGAATTTAATCATGAACAAATATTTTATCAAAGAACAAGAAAGACTTGTATAAGAACTGAACTTCTGTTATATACAGTTTGCATTTTAAGAAGTATCTATATAAAATTTAACAAAATAGTAACAAAACCACTATTTTCTTCCATTTTTAAAAGCATGCTGATCCCATTTTCTATGAAGAATTGCTTCCAGTTACTTTATATTCTCCAGGTCCCAAAAGCTGGCTTAAAAAACACAGCAAAAGGTGGGCTCATTTTACAATCAACCTCTAACAATATTTACCAAAATCTGGCTGTGGAAGACTGGATCCATGACCATATGAACTTAGAAGGCAAGCCTATTCTTTTCCTTTGGAGAAATTCCCCCACTGTTGTAATTGGCAGGCATCAGAATCCCTGGCAGGAATGTAACATAAATCTAATGAAAGAAAAGGGCATAAAATTGGCTCGGAGAAGGAGTGGAGGAGGAACAGTGTACCATGATATGGGTAATATCAATTTGACTTTCTTCACAACTAAGACAAAGTATAATAGGATGGAAAATCTGAAACTGGTTATTCGAGCACTGAATGCTGTCCTACCACAGCTGGATGTGCAAGCTACTGACAGGCTTGACCTCCTTCTAGAAGGACAGTTTAAAATCTCTGGAACAGCTTCTAAGATTGGACGGACTACTGCTTATCACCACTGCACATTACTGTGTAGTACAGACTGGATTTCTTTATCTTCTGTGCTGAAGAGTCCTTACCAGGGGATTAAGAGTAATGCTACTCCTAGTGTACCTTCCCTGGTGAAAAATCTTTTGGAAAATGATGACACTTTGACTTGTGAGGTATTAATGGAGTCTATTGCAGCAGAGTATGCTGCTTATCATCAAATTGATAGCAACATTATCCTAATAAATCCCACAGATGAGACAGTGTTCCCAGGGATAAATAGAAAAGCGGAAGAACTACAAACTTGGGAATGGATATATGGCAAAACACCCAAATTTAGTGTAAGTACTTCTCTTAATTTGTTAAGCGAACAATCATATTCTGAAATGAAAATACGTATAGATGTAAAAAATGGAAGAATTGAAGACTGCAGTATTGATGCACCTGATCACTGGTTACCACAGGAAATGCTTGACAAATTAAGCACAAGGTTTATTGGCAATAAATTTTGCCAGAGTGAAGCCACGGTGTTAATAAATGCATTGCTTAGAACATGTCCAAAAGACCATGAACTATACAGCAAATGGCATCTTCTTTGTGAAAAAGTTAAGACAATAATGTAATTCAAAATAATGATGTAATGATGACATTTCGTAATGTCATAATGACGAACCTTTGTAATGACGACAACTGTGGAACAGTAAAATAAAATTTAATAATATATTCCCTTTTATGTGTATCTTTTAAAATTCCATTTTTGGAACAGAAAGATAAATCAGAATTAGTAAAGTGCAAATTTTGATTTGGTGCTTTCTACTTTGTTTGCTTTAGACTACACCCCTTTCAGGCAAGTAAGAGTTAATATAGGTAACATTTTTAAACCAATGATGTGGCTAGAGAAGAAATGGAAGTCATATTAAATTGGGTGTTAATAAAAGAGAATAGTATCCAAATCAACAGAAATATAAAATTAGATTTACTATCACATTTTCATTTATGGGAATGATCATTGTATAAAAAGTATTTAAAATTCAATATCCATTTAAAATATAAACTTTTAAAACATGAGGTCAGAGATAGTCATCATATTTTCTTTGTGTGCCTAGTATGAAAAATGTCCACTGTGGTTTCATGACACAGTCTCAGGTCAAAATCACAATACCCGAGTGTAAAACGCCCCTAGAAAGAAAAAGAGAATTTGTTATTAATGACTTAGAATTGTGTCATTCATTAATAAGATAAGGCTGTGTCCTACCTGTGGTTTCTTAAAATAATCAAGTCCCCTTCCAATCGTAATCATCCATCCATTGTTGAACCTATTGAAATTAGAAATGTAATTGTATAAACATAAAGGTTAAATGATAAATTTTAAAGTGATAGGCTAAATGTCAGCACAATTTCCTCTAGCCAAGGGAAGTCTCTTACTTGATCAGGTGTATGAAAGTGGAAGCAACACCAGGTTTAATCTTGGGCTGTGTCTATATAAAGGGACAAACTGCAAAAAAAATTAGTTGATTGGATGAGCTGGCAAATATTCTAACAGTTTAGCTGACTGAACCACTAAATTCTAGCCTGCCATCAACATGGTACTATTCTGCCAAACTAAACAAATTTTCATTGGATTCACTGAGGACAACTTACTTGTTTTGACCGCTTACAACATCAACCATACTCTTTTGTATGTTGTGTGATCATGATCTGTTTGTGAGATGTGAACCCCATTTTTTTCCCTAATGTCCCTGAGCTACCAATTCTTCCTTACCATCTTATTCACTGTTCTTCTACCATCTTAGTATACTATACTAATGCCCCCTTGAAAGCTAGTCCAATATGTTTGGAGTCTATTAATGAGACCAATCCCCTTCTGTACCAACAGGACGTTATCTTACAACTTATTACCAGGGTGGTGGTGGGGGGGAGTTATGGTTGTTCCAAAAGACTTCATGATACAAGATTCATGTGGGAATGTGTTCAAGCAGAGAAATGGGTAACTATCAGTCAGCTATATCAGTCATTCCAAGGTGAGTTAATAACATTTCCAAGTTCAATTGTTAAGCTCTGGTTATTGGGACAATAGTCTGCTTCGTAAGCAGATAATCTGTTTTAAAGGGGGGGAAAAAGGATTAAGAACCCAAAAATAGTATTTTTAAAAATACTGCCACTATGATATGTCCCAGGCCACTTAATTTTAAAAACTAACAATTCAAACTGATTTAACCCATCAATAGTTTTTAAGGAATTTTGCTTATTAAAGTACCTAAGTTGGAATGATTTTCCTGTCACATGGGAAGTGCTGCATACTTGAAGCAGGAATATGAAAGTAGCACAACAATCATTGTTTTTAATAATTTAGTGAATGGGAGAAAGTTCTTTGAATGAGTAAACATGGCTACATCTTGTCCCATTAGGAAACCAGAAACTTACACATGTCATGAAATGTACCAACTCTTCCTTTTTTAGAAATCAAGAGAACAGTAAAATTTAGTTGTCTAAATTTGTAATCATTAAACACAAAAATTATTTACTATAAAATTATGCAAGAATTAGTGAAAAGGGAAAGGAGTATCTTAAGTTTTCATATCTGAATGATATGTATGGCTTAAAAATGAAAAAAATAAAACCAACCTAATTTCTCGGTCATGTATTGAAGAAGAGAATTCTATTTCCAGCTCTATTCCATGCTGACTAAGTGACTCTTTTATTTCTTCCAGGCCACTGGTCTGCTGACCCTTCCCACTGCCCTGTTAATAGCAAATATATATACATATATGTATATACACATTATTTTTCTCTAATTTTGACTGACTTTTGTATGTATATTACAGATGACTAGAAGCAATTTTAAAAACAAGGGAATATGATGTTTTAAGGAACAATAATGGAGCATTTTAAATAATTTCCCTTTCCATGTTAACAAGAACTCAGCCCCATTTACAATTTAGTAACACTATAGTCATTCAAATGGAAGTGGACAGAGTGCAGAACTTGCAATGAGGTAAATCTAACATCCAAGTAAGACACCTAGTAGCCATGTATCCCTACACAATTCACTTAATTTCTCTAAGCCTCAATTTCTTCATCAAAAAATGGGCATCATAACAGCAACTAATTCTCAGGCTTGTTAGAAGAATAATCTAAGTGGAGTGAGTTGCAAACCTTAAATGAAAGCTATTTTATTCCATCATATGAAATTAATTGATATAAAAGTCATCAGAAATAGAACTGCTTGAAATTTGCTTTGTGTCAGTCATCCCTGTTATATAAACTCATTCCAAAGTGAAAAAAAAAAACAGCATAATGGAACATGGTGGTGTTTGAAAGAACACTGGATTAAAAATCATGTGACTAAGATTCTAGATTCCTATATTTCACTGAGGACCTTGGGTAGGGCCCTTAGCCTCTCTGGGACTGTTTCTTCATGTATAAAGGGGGCTAAACTAGATTGTTTCTAAGATACATTACCGCTTTATGAATCTATTCCATTTTACATATAACATTTGAAATTTGTTCCCTTGATTGTGCTGCATTTTATAAGTAAGGAAGAAGTAATCTTAATACAGTCGAATACTTACTTCATCCATAGAAGTAAGAAGATGAATAGTTTTCACTTTACATGGTTGCTTAACAAGCATCTCACAGAATCGAAGAAAGTTGTATATAAAGTTTAGCTAATCAGCAAAACTTAAATATTAATACGCTTTTATATTTAAGTTACATTTAACTTGCCTGGTGAGTATGTCTAATATAAGGATCTTCTATCCATATTTCAGTCACAGCTGCATTAAGGTATTGTTGAAAAAGTGACTCATAACTAAAGCCTGTTGCATTCTCTTCTATTTTAATTTGCTTGTGGTATTTTCCATCTGACAAAACACATTAAATTCAACAAACATTTTAGTTCCTTGTGCATGTAAAATACTTCATTAGGTGTTGGTGGGGGAGATACAGAATTTAGATAAAAACAAAATTCCAACCCTCATGGAGTTTATAATCTAGTAGGGAGACAGATAGATAGACAGACAGACACACACACATTTCTGCTTCAGTATTTCAAGGATCAGTGATTTCATTGGTATAGGCACTCCTACCATCCACACAGATCACTACCTCTTGACATTTAGTATATGTTCTTGATGAGCTATTGTGGCCAAAAAATTAATCACCCTAAGGCCAATATGATGATAATAAATCTGGTGCAACAAATGTTTTATACAAGATAATACATAAACACTTAAGAGAAATGCAGTCAGTGGTATGTGATGTTAGGGGGTATGGGTGGGTAGGATCATGAAAGATTTCCAAGAGGAGGTGACGTCTGAGTTGGACTTTATAACAAACTATATATAACTTTATAATTATAAGGGGAGGATTTGTGAGTGTGAATTTCAGGGATAAGGGGCCTTGTGAACAGTGCCCAGAGTCAGGAAAGCACAATACATTCAAGAGACACAGTTGCTCACCCAGTTATAGTTTCCCTGGAGTATAGCCTCTGTGGAGAGTAACAATATAATGCCAGAAAAGCTACAGTGGTAGCAGGCGAGGTTGAAGAGTTGGAATTTAACTTGGGAGGCAATAAGGAGCCAAAGAAGGCTTCTGAGTAAAGGGATGACTTATGCATAAGGTAGGTGTCATGCAGAGGTAGATGGGCAGTTTGAAATGGGAAGAGCTGGAGATAGGAAGACCTGTTTGGGGGCTACTGTAGTAAGTGGGGCCAATGAAGATTTAGAATGGTTGCATCAGTAAGGAGGAGAGGTGGGTACTAAAGACAGAATTAACAAGAATTACTTGGTAACACTGAGAAGTGAAATTAGAAGGAAGATGCAAAGAACACCAAAGTTTCACGAATGACTGGTAACACTGACAAAAAATGGTGACAGTAAGAGAAAGACTAGGTTTTTCTTAGACACTGAGTTTGAGGTTAATAGCGGTAACAGCCAAATAAAAATATCCTACAGGCAGTTAGTAATGCGACACTGAAGCTTGAAACAAAGTTCAGAGCAGGACCTACAGATTTCAAAGTTATCTGTGGATAACTCTGCAATATGCAAATGACAAGAAAAAGAAAAAAAGGACCTATGATAGAACCTTGCAAGATACTCACCTTATGAAGAGAAAAAGCTATGGAAGAAAGGTTAGAGAAGAAGCCAGTGAGTGCCACGTTTCAAAAGCCAGGGAAAGGCAAAGTATTCATAAGGAGGAGATTAATCAATGTCAAATACTGGAGAAAGGTCAAGGAGAATGAAGACCAAAAAAAAGCTATTGAATTTGGCAATTAGGAGGCAATTTCTGACTTTGAGAGTTCAGTTTTCAATAGAGTGGTAGGAACTAAAGCCAGACTGCAAAGGGATGAGGAGAAAGTGGGTGTGAGGAAGTAGAGGCATTGGTTTTAAATTTCAAGAACTCTGACCACGAAAAGGAAGGAAACAGTATAATAACAGGGATAGATAGGCAAAGGATTAGGAAGACCAAAACACCCTTTTAATGGTGAAAACAATACCAGCACAATGTCTAAAAAATTCAGATAGATAAGTTTTAGGGTGCTCTCTCCAGCCGAGTTTTACAAGTTTATTTATAAAGTTGTCTGATGATTTTCTGCTGTCATCTTTTGCTGACTTAGCAAAACCACAATTCCTGTTATATGCTAGTTGTTCTCCTTAGATGTTAAATTCTACTAGTTCTACAATTTAAACAAGGATGGAGTATGATATATTAATGCAGTATTTTACGTTGCCTTTCAAGTCCGCTTTAAGCCTTGTAAAAAGCTGATTTTAATGAGAGAAACCCAAAGAGACAGCCTTGGAAGTCACAGCAACTGTCTCTTCATTGATCCTATTAACTTGATTTAATTATCCCTTATTAATTTCAGTCTGTTTCATTTTTGTCTTGATTTCCCTAATACTTAGCACAGTGCTTGAGATACAATAGGCACTTAATAAATGTTAACTGAATGATCCATAAGCCTTTAAGGCTTTTTTTTTAAAACACCATGATATACAGTTAGTCCTCAGTTTATTAAAAAAGCTGTACTCTGTAACTTGGTTTAAGTCACGTTTTTAGAGTATGTGTAGAGTATACTTCAGAGTATATTTTTCTATAGAAAAAAGATTATAACAGATTCCTAGGTTAGTATAGCTTTTCAAAAGATCTATTTGGTACATAATGTTAGCTAAATCATTTAACTATTAGCTATTAACTATTCTCAATAATTTACAAATAGATTAAGTATTAGTAATGTCCATAATAACAAATTTTCAATAGGAAAATGCATTCTTAGCTACAGCTGTAACCACTACATCTCTGTTCCTATGTATTCTATACGGGACTGCCTCCCTCAACCTAAACTGGTGTAGCTGAAGAGAAGGCTGAGAAAGATAATGTGCACCACATCATCTGGTTGGTGAAAGCTCTGGGACCAAGGATTAGGTTTCAGTAAAAAAGGTAGGGACAGTCCACCATGAGCAAAAAGCATAGCAGTAGGGAAGGAGAGAAGTGTGGATTATTCCTAGTACATCAGGAAAATAATCTGAGATATAGCTGTATGGGCAGGGTAGAGCTCAGGTATGAAAGATAGGGTATTTGGTCTTTGGTCGTTATGTAAGCAATGGTGAAAATATTGAGGTTTTTGAGCGGTGGAATGATATAACCCTAATCATGTATTAGGAAGATTCAGTGGTGCAGAGGAAGGACTAGAGAAGGCTTGCTAACAGGCAACAATAATAGCTCCTATATGTGTAATATTTAATGATTTGTAAAGTGCTTTATTAAAGGAAGGAGACAAGAAAAAAAATATTCAGTTCAATTATAAACCTTAAGGATCAAGAAATCTCTGCAAGGCTGTCACAAGAGTTTATTTACGTATTCTATTTGTACTGACAATTGAATAAAGGACAATATACCAAAACACACAACCCTGGTGCATATATAAAACATTGCTCTGGAGAGAAGAAGATTGCAGAACAACACTTTATGAGGTCCCATAACAAAATCTTTAAATATAAATGGAGGTCCAGTCATACAGGGCTTGATATAACAGGTAAACTACCCTGTTTACCTTTTTTTTTTAAAGGCAATTGGGGTTAAGTGACTTGCCCAGGGTCACACAGCTAGTAAATGTCAAGTGTTTGGTGTGAGGCTGGAATTGAACTCAGGTCCTCCTAACTTCAGGGCTGGTCCTCTATCCACTGTGCCACCTAGCTGCCCCATAGAGTCAGCTCAGGTTTTTTTGGTTTGTTTTTTGGTAAGGCAATCAGGGTTAAGTGATTTGCCCAGGGTCACACAGCTAGTAAGTCTGAGGCCAGATTTGAACTCAGGTCCTCTTGACTCCAAGGCCGGAGCTATATATACTGCGTCACCTAGCTGCCCCTCCCTGTTTACTTTTAACAACTGGTTTTTGAAAGTATATTTCATACCTTCTTTTTCTTGCTCCAAAAACTTCTTTATGTCTTCTGCTCTGTCCATGTAGTCAGAAATTTTTTGTCTTAGGTGACATTTCTTTGCATTGTCTTTGGTACCTACAATTTAAAAAAACACGTATTTTCCAATTTTCAGAGTATTTTCATTAATAAATAAGCATTATTTCTAATTCTAAATTTTTCCTACAAACTTTCTTTTTATCAAAATTGTTTACCTATGCTCATATGCTTTAGTTTCTGGGGTAAACATATTAGAGACAGTTTTGACTAATTAGCATGGGACAAGAAAAGAGTGCACTACATTTATAAGGGATATTATGTCAAGTTATCTAGATTACAAAGAGTGAATGAAGAAAGTAATGTGAAATAAAACTAGAAAGTAGTTTGGGGCCCAACTCTAGAGGGCCATAAATGCCAGGCTTAGGAGTTTGTACTTTATTGTCCTTTAGACAATAGGAAGCCCCTAAAAAATTTTGAGCAGGAGAATGAAGTGGGCAGCCTTGTAATTTAAAAAAAAATTGTCTTTTGTGCTTCTGAAAGATGGATTGAAAAGAGTTAAGACCAGAATCTTCTAAAGACGGGGGAAAAAACAAGTAGAAAGAGGTTACAATATGACAAGAGGCAAGAGGTGATGAGGTGATTAGAGTGGTGGCAGTATGGGGAGTGTCAGGGTCCCCATGCCAAGACCACCCCCTCTCTTTACTATTAGAAGATAACCCTGTTTTCCAGAGCTGAGGCCCAGCAAGCAAGCTGTGCCCTGAGCTTGGCATAACAACAGTCCTTTGAGGTAACCCTCTGGATGAACTCACTGCAGCAAAATGCCAGAATTGTTTCATACCAGCCCCAGGTGGTTCCTGAGCTCAGACAATTACCTGAAAGACCCATGTTCTGGGTCATGAAGCCCTGCTATGAATCAAACTTGTCTCATTGTTGCTGTTACCCTTCATTGTCAAGGCTACAGCTCGCTACATAATCATTGCTATACGTATTGAGATTTGCCCTAAATCTCGGTGCCCTGCACTAAAGCAGGTCTCCTCAGCAACAGAGGAGGCCCCAGCACATGTGTCTAGCTCCCTCTTGCAATGGAATAAAGAAAACTTTTTCCATATAACTGCTGTTGGCCCTATTTTTTTATTTTGTTTTTATTTTATTTCTTAACAGTGATTGTGATAACCTGTGTGAGCTCTTTGATATTTTCAGAGTTAACTATGATTGTGATAACTGATGTGAGCTGTCTGATATTTTATTTTATTGAGCTGGCAGTGGCTGCATAATCTCTGTGATTCTTCAGTCATTTATTTTCATGGTTGACAGGAGAAAGGGACCAATGGAAGAAAAATAACAAGCCTTGACAATTAATTGGGATATGGAGATAAAGGATAGGATTAGGAGAAAAAAAGAAAAGATCACTCCAAGGTTTCAAATTGGAAAGATGGTGGTGCCTTTGCTAGAAATTGTGAAGTAGAGACAGGTTTGGGAAATGGGAACGTTAATGAATTCATTTTTGCACAAGTTGAGCAACCTGTTGTGCCAGCATGTGTGTTTGTGAATATATGCACATGTCTATACACACAATATACATATGTCATTCCCATGACGCAGTCCAACCTGTAACCAAACAAATTGTTTTCCCCACCTACCCAATTCTATTCTATGTTGTCTTGAACTTCCCAAAACTATATGAAGACTAGTAAGCTCCACCTCGTGGTAATAAATCGGTCATGCTCAGAACCTTGTCTTTAATTTTACCTCAATTGTCAAATGTGACACTATAATAAAAAGTGCTGCTATCAATATTTTTGTATATATGAGTCTTAAATCTTTGTGATATATGCCTAGTACACAGAGTGTGACTTTTTGGGTATAGCTCCAAGTTGCTTTCCAAAATGCACCAATTCATAGTTCCACCCACAGTGCATTAGTGTTCCTGTCCTCTCATAACACTTCCGCTATTATTTTCTTTTTTTATCATCTTTTCCAATCTGATGATGGGTGTAAGGTGGAACCTCAGAATTGTTTTAGTTTTTATCTCTCTTACTACAAACAATTTGAAACATTTTCATATGACTGTTGATAATCTGCTTTTCTTTAAAGACTGCCTGTTCACGTCCCAGGAGTCACTTCTCATAGTGATTCTTGTCCACACTTACCTAATTCATTCAGCAAATATGTATTAAGTACCTAGTATGTAACGTGTTAGGCACTGGGGAAAGTACAAAGTTTGGATGAGACATATTCCCTGCTCTCAGACATAACACAAATGGCTATAATATGTATTATATAAGCACATTCAAACCTTCACAAAAGCCCAGCTTTATTGTGGTAAGTAGGAGGGGTGGCCAGCATACAGTCTTGGAGAAAGACTGACATCCAAACACTAGCCTGAAGTGGTGGAAAAAGAGAGTCATGGGATTTTAATTTAGATCCAGAAGGGACTTTTAGGCCAACTCCTTCATTTTTCAGATGAGAAAACTGCCATTGCCCAAGGTCACACAGGTAGGATTTGAACCCAAGTCTTCTAACTCTAAACCCAGTATTCTTTCCACATTCCCACAGTGCCTTAGAGACAAGTCCATGGTTCCAGCCAGAAATATACTAGGTTAGAGCTATAACTAGTATGGAACAAATCATTTTGCCCTATAGTGCTCAAATGGAAAAGCAAACTTACCCTGGTGACAACTGTCACCCAAAGGTGTCACCTAGCAGTCTGCCAAAGGGCAGCATAACTGTCCCAGGGATAAGTTAAAGCATGAGTCACAAAACAAAATGCTATATGAGATGTGAGGGGAATGGCCATTGCTGGCTGGGAGTTAGGAACCAGAAGGGAGATCAAAAAAGGTTTCCTCACAGGAAGCACCTGAGGTTTAAAGGATTAAATAGGAACTATACCAGCAAAGACGAGAAGGGAAAGTGCTTCAGGAATATGAAACTTGTGAAGACAAGACACTTGAAAGCAATTTGTGTTTGTTTGAAAGGCAGGATTACCCAAATAAATTGGAATACAGACTGGGTGGAAAGGATAGTTCATTCATCTGTAAAATGAGGAAGGAGGGGACATCTGTCCCACCTACCTCCTGTGGTTGCTATGAGGATCTGGCTAAAATATATTAAAATACTTTGCAAACTTTAAATACCATTTATTGTTATTGTAGATACATTATTATTTATGTGAGCCTGCCTTGCCTTTGAGTCAGGAAGATCCTGGTTTCATATTCTGTTTCTGATGCTAGCTGTGTGAAAACATCACGTTAAAGTATAATGCAAATGTCCTTTTTATGGTTATTATAGATTGAGGTGGTTACAATGTTATTAATGTGGGTTAGTTTTGTCTCCCCAACTCCCTAGATTATAAATTCATTTAGAGCAAGGACCAAATCTTATACTTCTGTATCCCTAAAGCACCTAGCCTAGTACTTTTCCTGGACATAAGGTGTATAGGTAGATATTTTAACTGACTATATAAAACAGAAGACACATTCTCTCTCCTTTCCATGAATTTACAATGCATCAAGTTTTGCCCTTTGAACTTGTGAATATATTAGTAATTACAACATCTTTTTGTCATTGCCCCTATACTACTTCCTCCAGGCAATCGATAAGCATTTATTAATGATCCAGGATGTGCCTGGCACTGTGCTAGGAATACAAAGACAAAATTCTGCCCTTAAGAAGATTACATTCGGGGTAGCTTAGTGGTGCAGTGGATAGAGCACCAGCCCTGGAGTCAAGAGGACCTGAGTTCAAATATGCTGTCATCACTTGACACTTAGTAACTGTGTGACCCTGGGCAAGTCACTTAACCCCAATTGCCTCACCAAAAAGAAAAAAAAAAACCAACAAGAAGATTACATTCTAGGAGGGGAGAATGTTCAGTATGTGCACAAAGAGCAGAAGTAGGAAAGCAATTTACACAATAACACCATTATAAAGAAAAACAACTTTAAAAAACTTAATATCTTTAATCAATGCAATGACCAACCACAATTCCAAAGGGCTGATGATGAAGCAGGTTACCCCTCAATGCGGAACAAAACATACGTTTAGGGACTCGGCCGGCATGGAAATTTGTTCTGCTAGAGTATACATACTAATACAAAGAATTTATTTCTTTTTTTCTCCCACCAACGCAGGGGAGAATAGGAGGGAGAAGAGAGATGGAGGGAGGAAGGAAGGAAAGAAGGTTACTGAAACATCTTTTTTAAAAGTGCACCTAAAGCCAGACAGAATCACAGACAAGCAGGACAGCTTTGGAACATAACTGCTGAATTTGATGTAGATTTTAAAAGAAAAGCAGCTTTACGTAAGAAGCTCTGCAGTTTAAGGTACAGTCCTCTCAAAAGGAAGCAAACTCGCTGCGAGGAGAGGTTGTTCCTCGATACCAGTATTTCAAGCGCTCGGCACGGTGACCGGCAGGTAGTGCGTGCTTAATACATACTTTCTGGTTGACTGAATGATGTATATAAAACATGTCTTTTTTGGTGTTTTTTCAAGTTCAGAATTGTTTTTAACCACCTAAAACTGCACAGCCCCCTGCTCGAGCCCTCCCTGCCCCAGGCGCATCCCTCCCCTTCACTCACCTTTCAGCACCTGCAGCAGTATATCGATGCCCTCCTGGTAAGGAGGCATCTCCTCTGTAGTCTGACTCTCTTTTCTTCCCTCAGGTGACTTATCTCTATCTGTATCTGTCTTGAATGTGTGTCTCTACCCCCTGATGCAGGTAATGACTGCTACTGATCAAGTAGCTCCTTTCAAAAGTCACACCGCTGACATTAATGGTATGAGGAATAACAATTTCCCTCCTTCTCCTCCTTTAAAGTGATCCTCTTCATAAGCACCTCCAAACTTGCAATTTTTCTCACTCTTAACACTGATGAACTGAAACCAGAGTTTACCAATTTAAAGCCTTTAGTGGCATGGTTAATCAGTTTGCTTAGCCAAATCAAGTCAACACACATTTATTAAGCACTTAGTATTGCCAGGCATTGTGCCTGGCAATATGAATACAAGGACTAGGAATACAAATACAGGCAAAAAAAAAAAATTACTACCCTCGAGGAGGAA